GTGTCACCTATTTCATGAAATGTGGAACAGTAATATGTTGTTACGGTAAAAAATGTGCCAATTCTGTTTTTTGAAAAAAAAAAATGTTTTTGTTTTTTTTTTTAATTTATTTGAAGGATCTCTACACCCAGAGGTAGGGCTCAAACTCATGACCCTGAGGATCAAGAGTTGCATGCTCTTCCGACTGAGCTAGCCAGGCGCCCCGACTCTGCTAACTACTGTAATGCATAATGCAGCTGGTCCAATGACAAGACTATCTTGCTCTGAGTAAACATTTCCCTGGTATTTGAAAAGGTCATTTGTGGGGCGCCTGGGTGGCGCAGTCGGTTAAGCATCCGACTTCAGCCAGGTCACGATCTCGCCGTCCGTGAGTTCGAGCCCCGCGTCAGGCTCTGGGCTGATGGCTCAGAGCCTGGAGCCTGTTTCCGATTCTGTGTCTCCCTCTCTCTCTGCCCCTCCCCCGTTCATGCTCTGTCTCTCTCTGTCCCAAAAATAAATAAACGTTGAAAAGGTCATTTGTAAATCAGATGCCTAGAATTCAGAACTCTTCCCTATAGAAATATATCTCAAAACTATTGGGAAGTTTCATGCTGGTCTACAAGGGTTGATTTAACCCCAAAACCTAGTACATAATTTTAACACTGATAACAACCGTGTCATTAATAGTGTAGTTGTTAAGGTTTGAAACCAGCTGATTCTGAGCAGTTGTGCTGCCATGAGTGAAATACACGACCCGGTGGGATTCCCAAACTTCAGTCATAAACGGATTACAGATGAATCACTCCGGGTGCCTGCTGAATATGTAGATTAGGCTCTCCCCAAGGGATTCTGATCTGGTAGCCCAGGACAGGGTCTCGGGACATGTTTCCTGTTTTAATTCTCCAGGTCATTCGGACAGCTAGGTTTGGGGGTGACTTGCCACTTCTCTTGACAAGTTTATTTATACCCATGTCCTTCACTGCTCTTAACAAGTCCTCAGAAGGTTAGTGTCGGGGCTCCATGAAAAATTCTACCACAGGCACAATTCGCCTGATGCAGAGAAAGCACTCAGTAAATGTTAGCACTAGTGCCACCCAAAAAGCAACTGCCAGGTATAATATTTCTAACATTCATGTAAAACTTTTAGGTTTCACATTTTTAAGTATTCTCCCCAAATAACCCATGCTCCTGGTAACAACCCAGAGAGATACATAATAAATATTCTAACTGGTCTTCGACCTCCTCCAGTCATACTCCCCTGTCATAAGCAACATGAATAGTTTAATGTGCATATTTGCACACATTTCTCCAGCTGTATATGCTTGTGCACACATATTACTCGGCACCCTGTATGACAAGTGCCACAGTCCTCCTTCTGGGTCTTTTTAAAGCTGCACTGGAACACTTCTGTTACTCTCGCCTGATGAGAATCCATTTTTCCTCATCCTGGTATCTGCAGTCCAATTTTCCCTTTCAACTCATGTAATTCAAGTAGGGCTACAGTTTCACTACTGTGCTCCAGGGATGGGCACATGATTCAGGCCCAGACAACCAAGATATCCCATCCCCCTGCCACAGCGATTGCCTCAAGAATTGGCACGTGACTCAAGCCAGGCCAGTAAAACCAGGACCCTTGCTGTACCTAGTGGCAAAGAGGTCATTTTCCCTCAGTTGTTAAGCTGAGAACGCAATCCATTGCTGACCATGGGAAGAGCTTCCTGGGAATGACATCGACCCAAAGGAAGTGGAGTCGAGAGAGAGAAGACAATGTTCTCCAGATGACCCTGTTCAAAGCTCTGCACGAGGTCATGCAAGAAGCCAGGCCATCCCTTGATCTCCTCAGGTGCATGTGCCAATTGATACCCTTTTTAGTTTGCACAAGTTTGAATTTCATTTCCCTCGCTTGTAACAAGTAGAAAAAACAACACATTGTATATTATTCCATAATATAGAGGCAGCATCATATATTCAACAATTCCCCTTTGGAACATAGTTACAGTGTTTTCTTTCTTTTCTTTTCTTTTCTTTTTTTTTTTTTTTGCTACTATAAACAAGGCTGCAACAATTGTTCTTGTATTTATGGTACTTTACTACAGGGTAGGAGCATAAATCTATGGGAGGGACTAGCAGGGAAAGATTAGGAACTCAATTAGGTAATAATTATGGAGCACCTTGCATGCCTGACAACAGAACCTGTGGATTCCTTTATATGAGGAATCAATGGTGCTATTTAACACCACAAGAACGACGAGATGAGATGTGTACTGGCAACTGCCTCCAGAAGCAATGTGGAGATGACCCGGAAGAAGTTCCCCGCGAATTAGGAAGTTGGAGGATAATGCTGCATTAGCACAGGTAAGAGCTAATAAGCAAGTGTCAGTAATGGCAGTGGGGCAAAAAATGGTTCCAAAAGGCATTTTCAAGGCACCTAAAAGAAATAAACCATTAAGATCCAATTAAAAAAAAAAAAAAAATAGAACACATACCAAAGGACAGCCCCTGCTAAAAAAAATAGCAGTAGGTGGTTATTTTGATCACATGACTAGAGCTAGGAGCAAGCACTTAGCATGAAAGGTTTTGCCAAACAGATACTATTCAGCTGAACCACATTCTCTTTTTGGAATTTGAAGCATGACGTACTGAGGTAATGAAAGAATTAGTGGCTGGGGCTAAAACTGAAGGGATACAGAAAGAGAAAAATCATGAAGCAGAGTTGATTAGGAAGCCAAGAGGGTGTCAGAGTGTAAACTGGTTCCAGAACTGATAGCCACCTAGTTCTGTCTACATCTGGGCAGGCTCTGCTGCAATTCATGTTTTTCCTGAGAAAATAAGAAGGGCTTCTTTGCAATAACAAAGGTCACACTAAAACAACTTAATTGATTTGTCAGGATCTCACTGTTAAAATCAAGACTAGGTGACTGATAAGGAGGAGGCTAAAAGAGGTAAGAATTTAAAAAGATCAGGGTTTCTAGCATGAGAACGAAGAATGATGTTATTGAAAAATACAGTGTGAAAAAGTGGAACTGAATATACGGAATTAAGTTTTGCATACTTCAAGTCTGAAATGTCCCTGGACTATTCGTAAGGTGAATGGAATCCACAGGTCAAAAGACGTTAATTAATACATTGTAGTCCAAGCCATAGAAACACAAGAATATCAAAAGAGAAGTCCAACCCAAGCGCTCTTTGACAAAGCTGGCTATGTAGAGATAAGGCCTTTACAATCTTCTGGACTTGTACAGTGGAGGAAACAGGCTTCTCTCTGCTCTGAGCTACTATGTGCTCAACTGTCTTTGAGCTAAGACTTCACACCAGGTGAAAATGAAGGCCAAGAGGAGCTCTAGGAGGTCTAAATAAAAAGCTGAAAGTACCCAAAATCTGAAACTGGAAGAGTGCTACCAAAAAACAAAAAGAAAAAAGAAAAGAAAACCTCAAACATACTCTGTACAGAACTTTTAAGTCACAAAATATTTTACGGGACAGGTCGACAGTTTTTATAAGTTCTACCCCTCACCTTTTTTTTAACATATGAAGAAACAGATTCAGAAAAAAGTAACTTGTCTAAGATTATGTGGCTAGTTAAGCAACAAAGTTGAGAATCCTTAACACTCTCAAATCACCATGTTACATAGGTTTCCAGGAAATCCCACTGCTTTAATCCAACAGAGGGTGTCTGCACTGAGGTTTCCCAGAAATCTTTGCTACTTGTAAACTAACGAGAAGTTAAAGGGGGAGGAGGACACGCACCTGTTTGCCTCTCTCACCAGTGTTTCACTTTTAATTACTTCAGCAAAAATAGGGAGGGTCAAAATATACCGACTGCATTAAAAGTTGTGGTTGAAACACAAATATGCTTCATCTCAATTGCAAAAGAAAGTGAAAATTACCTTAGGTGATTTAGAAACAGGAACTGATAGAAAAGTTGGAGAGAAGACTTTCAAGGGAAACGAAGAGACCTTACTCAGAGTTGTTCAAGAGGAGAGCACAGGGTAAATGCAAGTTTCTATACTCTCTTGATTCCATAAGACCCAGTTCTTGGGGCTTCCTGGTCTTAATGCTATCTGAATTATTTGACTAAATTAGTTTCCCACCTTCTGCATCCCTTTGCTCAGTCCCCTCCCGCCATTTCTCAACCGCCATTTCCTATATACCGACAAGCTCTCGCAATCCATGGCCATTCAGTCTCCTGACAGAACTCTTCAACGTATGTTAAATTCAGGAAACTCAGGAAGATTAATTTCTACAGCCACTGAATAGTAAAACTAAGATTACACATAGTCCTTGAAATTCCAAAACCAATGGTCTCTCTGTTAGACCACACCGTCTCTGCGGTTCAAATACCACGAGTTTATGATATGAACAGGAAGAAGTAAAACTCGCCAACTTGTATCACAGGTAAGTTCTCAAAAGGTAGAATGAGGCAAGAAAGAGAAGACAGTAGCAGGGAAAGCAACGCAAAGCTTCATACCTACTGTGAAGAAGGAGCTCACAGCATTTTCAGAAAGGTTTTCTAGGCACTAGCCTGGACTGAAGACAGCATGAAAAAAAATGCAATCAATTTTCCAAGCTGGCACCTGTGCCATCTTTATAGAAATTTCCACACCTTCTCTAAATTATTTGTTAAATCACCCTGATGTTGACATACCCAGCATATTATTGAAAGTTCTTAGAAACAGATTCTTAAAGTTTTATTTGTCATGTTGTAGATATTAATCAGAATACACCTAAAAAGAAAAGATTCTTTGCTATTTTTTTTTATTCTTGGTAATTAATCCATTGTAAGAAGTATAAAAAAAACTGACGTAAGAAAGAGAAGCCAGTAGGAAATAGGTCTCCTGAAAAGCAATTTCTAATATACCACGTATCATTTTGGGACAGGCTGGTTATTTACCCTGCTATATTTATATTCTTCCAGATAAACTTGTCTTCAATTCCAGTGAAGTCAAACGGGAAAAATCAAACTTCCTGTCTCTCTCCATTTTAAACACTCTGATAAGAGAAACTGAAACAGTATTTCTTACCTCCGTGCAACATAATAAAATATAGGATTCCCAGCTTTGGAAGTCCCAGCTTGGTAGAAAATACTTAATGTTTTCAAAGCCTTGAACTCTTCTTTTTCATGTACTTGATGCCTGAAAGGAAAAACAAACAAACAAACAAAAAACAGGGTAACTCATAGGCTTTATATTGTCCATTGAGTATTTATAAAAACCCATGATTAGACCAGTGAGGAAATATACTAAATGACAAAACATTTAAAAGCAACACACTTCCTGAAGGGCAATTTGACAACAAGTACCCAAAATTTCAAGATGTTACTCTTTGAAACATAACAAGTCGTCCTTAGCACTACCCTGGGCAGTAATATGAACCATAGGATTGTTTTTAAATTAAAAAAATCCTTTAATAGTTTATTTATTTTTGAGAGAGAGAGGCAGAGAGAGACAGTGTGCAAGTGGGGGAAGGGCAGAGAGAGAGGGAGACACAGAATCTGAAGAGGGCTCCAGGCTCTGAGCTGTCAGCACAGAGCCCGACATGGGGCTCGAACTCATGAGCCATGAGATCATGACCTGAGCCGAAGTCAGACACCCAACTGACTGAGCCACCCAGGCGTCCCTACCGTAGGATTGTTTTTAATCATGGTATTTTCTTTTTCTAGAAGCTGTTGAGTTTTTATTTATTTGTCTTTCAAGAGTTCAGTTTATCAACCTTTTCTTTTTGGGTTTATAATTCTGGATGATTAAAAAGGCCTTCCTTTGCATATGTTTTCTTCTTCATGGGAGTTTATCCTCATGAATGATGGGAGCACCTTTTTCCAGTCACTCATTCAGTTGTAGCAACACCATTTATTAAAAGTCCATTCTATGGCTAAAATCAAAAACACAGGAAACAATAGGTGTTGGCGAGGATGCTGGAGAAAAAGGAATGAAGGTTGGCGCAGCCTCTGTGGAAAACAGTGTGAAAGTTCCTCAAAAAATTAAAGATAGAATTACCACAGGATCCAATAACTCCACTGGGTATTCACCCAAAGAATATGAAAACATTAATCTGAAAAGATACATGTACTCTATATTTATTGCAGCATTATTTATAATAGCCAAGATATGGAAGCAACCCACGTGCCCATTGCTAGGTGAATTTTTTGTCGAATGTTAGATCCCCGTATGTATTTTAAAATGTTTCGGAAAAAGCCTGATTTGATTTTTATGTATTCTGTTAAACATTCAGTGTGTAATTATTTGAAGCTTCAGGTCATTCACCAACCCTGGGACGTTGTCATCTGTTGTCTCTTCAAATATTACCTCTTCTCCGTTCTCTCTAAGCTCCATTTCTGAAACATCTATTACTCATTTTGGACCTTCTCCTTCTGTCATCTGCATCTCTTAACTTTTTTCATATTTTCCACTTCTTTATCAATCTGTACTGACCATATGTTGGCAATGTGCTCAGAAATTATCTTCCAGCTATATGTTTTAAGAATAAAATATTTTAAAAATATATTTCCTCTGGAGGTACCTGGGTGGCTCAGTCGGTTAAGTGTCTGACTCTTGGTATCAGCTCAGGTCACGATCTCAGGGTCATGAGGTTAAAAAAAAATTTTTTTAATGTTTATTTGTTGAGTGGGGGCGGGGAGGGAAAGGGGCAGAGAGAGAGGGAGACACAGAACCTGAAGCAGGCTCCAGACTCCAAACTGTCAGCAACAGAGCCAGACTTGGGGCTTGAACTCACAGATGGCAAGATCATGACCTGAGTCGAAGTCAGACACTTGACTGAGGTACCCAAGCACCCCTCAGGGTTGTGAGATTGAGCCTTCAGGCGGGCTCCGTGCTGAGCATGGAGCCTGCTTGGGATTCTCGCTTTTGCTCTCTCTCTGCCCCTCCCCCACTCACGCTGGTGCTCTCTCTCAAAATAAACATTAAAAAAGCAAATACCGGGGCGCCTGGGTGGCGCAGTCGGTTGAGCGTCCGACTTCAGCCGGGTCACGATCTCGCGATCTGTGAGTTCGAGCCCCGCGTCGGGCTCTGGGCTGATGGCTCGGAGCCTGGAGCCTGTTTCCGATTCTGTGTCTCCCTCTCTCTCTGCCCCTCCCCCGTTCATGCTCTGTCTCTCTCTGTCCCAAAAATAAATAAACGTTGAAAAAAAAATTAAAAAAAAAAAATAAAAAAGCAAATACCTAGTATATAATACTAGGTATTACAGTAGTATAGTGTAGTAGTATAGTATAATACTAGGTAATATAGTATAAAATACTTCGACCTAGTACTTCTGTACGTCATGTATCTCTTACGTCCTGGAAGGGGTGGGGGAGAGAGGTTCTATCATCTCAGTTCATTATGTTGCCAGTACCAGCTCAGCATTTGTTTAGTATTAATGGAAACAACCTAGATATTGTTTGATGAGGGTAACAGGTACACATACGTACAAATGATTATGAGGCTGTGTGTCAAATGTTACCTGAATTATCTCTAAAAGGTGAATATCTCTAAGAAGAGTGAGAATTTTTTACTTTCTTTAGATTTCTGACTTTTGAATAACTTAACAATTTTTATTTTTATAGTTGAGAAAATGAAGCTTTCTTCATTTTTTTTTTTTTTTTTTTTTTTTTTTTTTTTTTTTTTTTTTACAAAAAAAAAAACGGGTCTCAAAGAGCATCAGCGGGAGCTGAGAGGAGAACAAAAATAACACTTAACATTTATTGAACACTATATATACCAGACACTGTTAGATCGGTTAGTCTCCAAAAGCGTGGAAGATTGTCTTTTATAAGGGAAGCTAGGGTCTCAGAGAAGGAGCAATAAATAGGTTTTCTTAGAAAAGTGGAAAAATGGCTAGGATGTTCTCAGTAAGTGGTGAATAAAAAAGCTGTATGTTTTTGTACTGTGTAATTTTCAATTACGTAATATGAAAACTTTGTGTGGAAAGTATTTCTTTAATCACTTAGGAATAAACATTTGTTACAATGAAAAGAATATAGTAGAGCTAAAGATAAAAAAATAAGCTGGAAAGGAGACTGTTTTGTGTTCACACATTCTTTTAATGGTATCAAAGAACTGGAGTCATGTGTACAAAACTATGGCCTATCTGTAATATGATCAATAGCCAGCACTTACATTGCAAAGCACAGTATATGCCAATCTCTAATGTGAGTTAATTTCTGCATTTTAATTTCTGCTTTTTTACTTCTGTCTCTGGCACATATTATGAACAAAACACCCACAGTCACTGAAGCACTTACTAAGTGACTAAGTGTAAAGTACTATGAAAGGTACCGTAAAGACTAAAGGACTCAGCACACCATCTTCGCTGGAACGTCATAAAAGTGAATGTCTAACAAGGAGGCTCTTTTACCTCACAAACTAAATCCATCTAAATGAGATTTGAAACAAATGTCCACAGAAATTTTACAGCAATACTGAAATTTACTGAATTTGGGGAGTCTCAATCTAAAAGAGGTTAATAGCATCAAATTTGGGGAGGGTTCTGAAAAACGCTACAGTGTGGCAGAAAGAAAGAGCTCAGAACTTAAAACCAAAGGACCCATGACTGAGGTGTGGGAACTTGGGCAAATCAGTTACTCACACTGAGCTGCAGAATCTCCCTTAACTAAAATATGATTATCTACCCTCCCTTATAAGTATTAAATGCAAAAACACCCCAAAGCAATATGACACAGTACCATTCAAAAAGATATTATTTTTAGAGGAAAATCAACTATAAAACAAAGCACATGTCAACAAGAGATAAGGTAAGAAACAAGTGGGATCCCAAAATATGGCAACGTGATCATCAAGCACATCTTTCCTAATAATCGTCCATCAGAAATACAAGTATATCCAACAAGTGGTCTCCTGGTAAACCTTGCATCTCAACCAAAAGAGAGCAATTATTATTTCACGGTGGTACTTTACCTAGTCATAAATTCCTCAAACTTTGAACTGGTAAGGTTAAGGCTGGACCAATGTGTATCGGCCACAGGTTTGTGCTCTGGAGGACCCAAGTACGCAAGAAGTGTTGCCATCTTATCAAAAGGTCGTCTTCCAACAGCTTTGTGATCCCTAGAAACAGCAAACTACTTAGAAAAAAGCAGCGGTTCACATGTAGCTGTACACATTGCTTTAGCTTATCACTGGTTGCTTTACTTCTTACTGTCAGCTGGTGGTTCCCAATGATTTGTAAAAATAGCAACAAAAAGACCTCGAAGGTTGTAAATATACACGGAGACATCTTAGAAATATGACCACTCCCCAAACTACAAAATTTACATAAAAATTCATTTTTTCTAGTATTCTTAATCCATTGCCATTAAACAAGCAATAAGTAAAAATAACATTGTAATCCACTTTTTCACAGGATGAAAAGAATCCTTCTTGAGAAACTCCTCTTTATGAATTGGACATATTTGTCATTGGTATCAGATCTCTGCTTAACCACGGTACATATGGATTTTCAGTAACTATTAAGCATTTAAAACTACACGAGAATAACAAGATACCATTTCACAAACATCAAATCGGCAAAAATTATGACGTTTACTAATGTCAACTTTGGTGAGGATGTGTATAAAGAGGTACTCTCACGCAGTGCTGATCAAAGTGTAAATGAGCATGTACACTTTGAAAAGTAATGGAGCGGTGTCTAGAAAAGGAAGGGCTGTGTGTACCCCAGAACCCAGCAATCACACATCAGGTAATACACAAGAAGACAAATATGAAGCATATTTATTACATTACTATTTAGAACAGTGAAAATCAAGAAACAGGCCTAAATATCCATCAATTAGGAAATGTGAAAATAAATTTTGATATAGTCATTCAATAAAATACTAACATAAGTTAATGGTAAATCTCAAACAGAATATTGTGTGAAGAGACTTATTTGCTATATAATTTATGCAAAATTTTTAATGTTTATTTATGAGAGAGTGAGAGCGGGGGAGGAGCAGAGAGCGAGGGAGACACAGAATCCAAAGCAGGCTCCAGGCTCTGAGCTCTCAAGCACAGAGCACGATGCAGGGCTTGAACCCATGAACAGTGCAATCATGACCTGAGCCAAAGTCGGACGCTTAACCGACTGAGCCACCCAGGCGTCCCAATTTCTGCAAATTTTTAAAACACACAAAGCTATATTATATATGCCTATAATTTCCTTATTTTGTCAGTTTCATGGAGAGAAGTAACAGCTTTTCCCCCAAGAAACAAAATGTTATAAAGGTCTGAAGTAAAATAGCAAACTAATGTTAAAGCTAGTTGGTAGACACGGGTCTCTGTTATATTACAGCCGATACTCTTCTGTATGTTTGGAATTTTTTTTTTGAAATATCCGAATTTTTAAAAACTCTGTAGCATCAAGCTACACGAATATGTATGTGAATTATGTAAGAGAAATGAATGTTTGCATTTAAAAGTTCACAGTTCAGGGCGCCTGGGTGGCGCAGTCGGTTAAGTGTCCGACTTCAGCCAGGTCACGATCTCGCGGTCCGTGAGTTCGAGCCCCACGTCGGGCTCCGGGCTGATGGCTCGGAGCCTGGAGCCTGTTTCCGATTCTGTGTCTCCCTCTCTCTCTGCCCCTCCCCCGTTCATGCTCTGTCTCTCTCTGTCCCAAAAATAAATAAACGTTGAAAAAAAAAAAAAAATTAAAAAAAAAATAAATAAAAAAAAAAAATAAAAGTTCACAGTTCATTTGCGTGTCACACAGACAAAGCATCTTCATCCTTTTATGTCCCAGCACACTTTGGTCATGCCAGTGTCACTTTAACCCAGTAACCCTTCATGAAGGATTAAAATGCTCTCTCTTTTAAACTACCATCTCTTTATTAGTTAGCCTTAGCTTCATGGTCTTCTAGCATTCCCATGAATGAGCAAACCATTTTTATTAGCATTTAAGATTTTTCTGGACTCATTTTACATTTGTAAGAGGAATGCGTGGGAATTTGGGCTGTTTATACACATACACAACTTGAAAGGGCAGCAAGTGATTCAGGCTACAATAGGCTTTAAAAACAGCTAATGAACCAATACCCAAGTTAATACTTTTCAATTATTGGGTATTTTCTACATAAAGCTTTATTTTCAAATACTTAGAGTATCACAAATAGAATCAGAACACTGGCAATGCTTTAATTATTAAATTCCCTAGAATTAGCTGCTCTTTAGATTCAGATACCAACACTCATTTGAACTTCTAGTAAATGTAAACTCCCCTATATCTTGTTGCACACGTTTGATGTTTTGCAAACCAGAAAAATCCAAAGGGCTAATTTGTGATTTTTTTTAGCTTAACACTTAAAAAAAAAAAAAAAAAAAGTCTGTAGCACCAGGTAGACTTGTTCATCATTTCATACGAGTCAACCGCTTGCCTATTTAAGAGTTCAGGGCTCTGCATTTCTCTTTCCAAACCTTAATTCCTATTCTAAGCAGATGCAGAGTAAAAAAGCATTATTCGTGCCCAATAATTTTTATAAATTTAAACTAAGAGTTTTCAAAATCTCCATGACTGCGAAATCTTACCTGTTACTGGAAAGATACTGGCCAATTTTCTCTTGATTGTTCCAGAGTAGACGATGTAAAGCAAGCACATTGCCATCACTGATGAAGGAGAGACTATGATTTACTGCATCACTGGTAGGACAATCAGATGCTATATCAAGGAAAAACCTTAAAAAATACAAAGCCATTAGAATTTTTAAAAACTAGATGCACTCATATCTATGTGTGAATCAAATTGATCTGAAGTAACTTTGTAAAATAACTGACATTACAAGTATGGAGGACTATAAGTATTATTCACATGTGACTGTCATTAAACACAGGAAGAGACAAGGAGAAAGTTGGTTTTCCATTTCCCATACCGGGCTTCAGCTTCATGGTAGGTTCTGAAGTCAGACAACAACAAAACTTAGATAGATGAGACTTTGGATCGAAGCCAGTACAGTACTTTATAGATAAGGAAATGGAGACCAAGACAAGACAAAAGACTTCCCCAAAGTTACACAGCTGGTTAGGTCAGGGCCAGGATGAGAACCTTTGTTCTCTTAACTTTCTATGGGTAGTCAATCTGCTGGAATACGAATCCTATGCTGACATTCACTCTTCTCTTCAATAGAGCTTGCAGTCCAACAATATACCTTTTAAGTGCCAACTAGACAGAAACTGGTAAGAACGACAATGAAAAACTGCAAGAGAGAGTTGCCCAAGTCCAGCTTAGACTATGAGATCAATTAGTTTCACACTACATGAAAAGTAGAATTCTGTAAACTTACATTTACAAAGCATTTTCTCATACACTACCTCATTTGTTTCTCTAAAATCAACTCAGAACACAAACAGTTTTGCCCCTATTTACAGATAAGCCCACAACTCAGAGAGATAAAGAGAAAGAACTAGTTAGTTATGGCACCTCACAGAACTCAAGTTTTCTAAAATCATAAAACTTCAACAGTTGTCATTATTCCTTTCAGTAACTTTTTAGTTCAGGTACACTTCCAAATCGAAGTATCAAAAATATTCTAACATCAAAATATTGTCATTATAAACTATCAAGCATAATATGTGCCATTTTGGCTTTAGTTTTTACAAGAAGGAGTCTTTTCCTTTTTCCTCTCCCCCATATTATAGCAACTTCAAATCTTTTATTTTAGTAGATGTGCCAAAAATCCCTGCTAGTTTTCAAGTATGGAAGTCACTATCAAATTATAAAGAATATGGATTTATTTCGCTACTGTCTCTTATAGTAAAAGAAAATAAGATTAACTCTGCTCTTGACCTAGAGCGGGAAGAGGAAAAAAACCTACACAGGAGCTCCACGTAGACCAAGTACACAGACTTCAGTGAAACTGACAATATTTAAATCAGATAGAGCAATCCTACCTCCGCGCTGCATCAAAGTTGCTTTTCACAAAATCATTAAAAGGCCGCATATGCTCTTCTTTTGTGAAGAGAACATGATTGGCAATGCTCTGAAGTATCTAAATAATAAAACACGGTTATAAATCAGATCATTCATTGCATGAAGTGTATACGTTCGCATATTCTTTACAAAAAACTAATTTTCTCATCAATATAATTTCTATTGCTGAGTAAATTATTCCTCATGCTATAAATATTAGGTGTTGTTTCTATTCCTTCCCAAATTACTACATATATATACATATGTATGTGTGTGTGTGTATATATATATATATATATGCATATACACACACACACACACGTATATAAACACATATACACATATTTACATATATAAAAATACATATTAAATTTTTTAATGTTTTTTTTTTAATAAAAACTCATACAGTCTCCATTTCAGTCTCCACTTTAGAATTTCCAGAATGAATATATAGAAAACTATCTTTAGGAGACATTTGTTAAGATATTTTCCCACGATAATAATGTCCATCAGATATCAGTCTAATGAATTCCTTTGTAATTTAACAACTAAAAATAAAACAAAAGCATATAAGTGAAAACCACAGGCTATTTCAAAAATAAATTCAAGTGTGAGTACAGAAAATACAAAACACTGAAAATTTAGTTGGAAGGGAAATTTAAAATAGATTAGCAAAATAATTCTTCACCTTTGACATTAACTTCAAGCCCCTTTCAATTCTAGGTGGCGGCTTTTTATCTAAAATCCCTGCTTCATACGGTGAGACAATGGCAGGATTGATAAATCTGAGGAACATGGCACTTCCCACCGCACCGATGCTGTTCTGAGGGAAACGCTGGCTAACCACCTAAAAATAAGGAGTTGAGAACTGAGTATATGGTTTGAATTTAAAAAGGAAATGGGAAGAAAGAGCTCGAGGGTCAGACTTTGGCACAAAAACTCTGCACAGATCAAGCCTTGTAAACAACACATTTCTATTTTTTTCCTACTCCCCAAACATCAGTAAATAAAGCTTATCCTCAATTCTTGCCCTCCACCCCTTTTGAAGCACAACAAAGGTATCTAAAAAAAAAAAGAAAAAAAGAAAGAAAGAAAGAAAGAAAGAAAGAAAGAAAGAAAGAAAGAAAGAAAGAAAAAGAAACTCTTCATGAATGAGTGGTGGAGAGAGACCTGAAAAAAGATCTTGCATTTATCATTGTTGTTTATACTGCAAGTTTGGTAAGTAACAAAAGCACACCAAATTTTCACACAAAGATTACCATATTTTACCAAGATTAACAGACATGAGAGTGCGGTCAACTCTTACAAGGCAAAGCTAAGTTTGCAACAGCATACCCCAAAACATCTAATATCTAACAGTAAATACTTACATTTTGTTGTATACCTGGTACAACCACGTGTCTTGAACAAAATGCTTGCCATACACAAACAAAGGTTAGGTTTTTTTTAGATTCCTATCAAGAGAAAACACTTACAAGTAACATTGCCAGTTCCTTTTCTTCCTCAGAATGCTTTTTAAGATAAGGACCTATTATTTAAATCATGAAGGAAAAGGAATTCTTGGGGATCTAAAGGAAAAAACAGATCCCACCAGCAGAAGAGAGAACCCCTACGTGTACCTCAATGTGCAATTCTGTCAAATAAAAAAAGTGAAGGAAACAAGAAATAGTTGCTCACACTGGAAAACAATGTGAGCCCAATATTTAAGATGGGGTTTTCTCTTTTTATAAAACATTCTACCTTGAAGGTAAAGTAATAGGCACATTAGATTGGGAAAAGTGTTACGAAATTGGCTTGGGACCCATCTCTTTCCAGTTACTGTTTTAACACAGGAAAATTATATTACTCTAAAATGTACATGTTTTACAGATAATACACACACACACTTATTTTGAAAGAACACTTGTGTAACACTTTAATCTCCACAATTACGCTTGCTCAGTGTAGCTAACCGCTGCATAAAGCAGTGGTGATCCCAACAGCCAAGCCGCACGCAGCACTGCAGACGATATGCTAAGATTCCAGGGATAAACCTACATTTCACAGGACGGTGAGGGAAAATGAGAAAATGGACTTTCTGTGCAGAATCCCACATAACTCTAGTTCACTTTACAATGCCTTAATAAAGTAATACTCCTTGTCATGAATTCACACAGCTCACTGACTCCAGATTAACTCCGGGAAGAATAAGGATTATTTCATTTCATTCTCTTCCCTTTAGTGCTTCGTGTGGTATATACATTTTCAATGTCTTCTTACTCGCTGTCTAAAATCTCTAAATAGTGTTCTGCCGTATCTGAGGGAATTAGTAAATATAAGATTTCAGACGATTCAGGTTTTCAAGCCCAAGAACACCCTCTCAAGTGGCGCTAACACGCAGGAGTTGTAACTAACATATTCTCACCTTCATTTACACTACGTAGCTCAGGAAGCTTTCTTGTGTTACAGCGCTCTGGGTGCTACTGCGTGAAGGACAACCTTGCTGTACTTCACTCAAAGGAAGCTGCTGCAGATGGCTAAATACAGCAGCCTCACTAGAACAGCTTTAAAGCCCAAATACTGTTTGAGAGTTATTTTTAGCTGAAATACAGTTTTAGAAATAGAATTAAGAAGAAAATTCAAGTGCTTTTACTATTCTAGTATAGTATTTAACCTTTCGGAGAAGAGGAACAGACAAATGACTATATACATTCACACATTCTTCATACAATTTCACAATGTTCAGGGACCACCATTGCTACTGAGTGGTTCTTTTAGAACTCCCAAATTTTAATCTTAAAACAGAAGAAACTTAACAACAAATCTACAAAATTGTAAAGCTTGTAAAGAGTTAGCAAGAAGAGGATTAAAAACTGCTTTATATTTAATTGTAAACAGGTTGTTTGAAAGGAACAGCCATATATTCAGATTAATCCGTTAAAATCCTAAAACAGTTTTTAAAAATTGAAAGCCATAATTTGGTTTCCAAAGAACCAATTAATTTATAAAATACTAACCTGCTGTGAAAACATCTCTCAAAAACCAGTAACTTGTACACATATTTTTCAAAGTAGCTACTTACTAGTTTTGTCTAGAACAAAAAAGTTTTAAAGTGTGACTCACACTTATACCTGATTTATACTTAATACTATTAATCTCATAATATAATGAAAAGGGAGAATACTGTCAAGCTTCTGAAAAGTACTACATTTTCACTATCCTCCACATCTTCAAAGTTAATTCTTGTCAAAACTCAAAGTACCCACACCTCAGAAACACACATCGTTTCTGGTATCATATAATTATGCATCCCAATGATGACAGTATCAGTATATTTTTGGAACTAAAACCTTACAAAATGTACTGAATATCAAACAAAATGCTGTATAACAAGTTTCATGAGACAATTTATAAAAATAGTTCTTTCTCTTTCACCACTAATGGACATCAATGTAATTTTACCTCATAATACACATATTCAAGTGTTTTATTTTTTAAGCTACAAAAATCTAATTTAGATCCCAAACACATTCTGCACAAAAGGGCAAAGTTGGGCTAGTCTATACTCTGAAACCAGTTACCAGTCAAATGTCCTCTTTACTCCCTCGAGTAAAATCTGAACAACATGGTACAAATAAATGCAGTCATAAACTTTACACAGCAAGAGGATCACTACGCAAACATGCTTAATTCCCGGAGTTAGGTAGACAATTAACTTCGAGAAGGAGATCTGATTACACATTATATGCTTGAGCATAATAAGAGGACTTATCTATAATATGACTATGCAGCTAATATACCAGAAGCCAAAACCTTCACTCTATATTTTACATATTCTGATCCATTATCCATATACCCCAAAAGAGTTAGCTTGCTTTTTAAAGAAAAGATCATTAGATTCATAAGCCAGCAATTCCATAAACTGACATTTTAAATTTATGATGACTATGTTGTCTTCATACTTTAGAATGTGTTCCCAAATACCTCAAATTACCAATTAGTTTCCCTTTGTTTCCATGAGGACCTCATATCACCTGTGCTGAGAGATACATTCCAAAACTCAGTGTTACCCAGAAACTTAAAAAAAAATCTGAAAATAACACTAGCAGAAAATAACATTTCAAGGAACAATTTTAGACAAAATCTCAATAAATAAAGCAATGTTAGGAAGGCTAGAAAACATGCTCTAGAGAAACACAGAAAGCCAGAATTTTAATTTATGTGATACACTACACAATGCCATTAGTAAAACACACTGAACGGGTGTTAGAAACGGTAAATTAATTTCAACAGTGATGGTGTATACATGTTAAACTCACATATGCTGAGAATTAGAAGCATTAGAAAGGAATGTTTTTATTAAGCAAGAAAGCCATCCAATCCATTTGCTCACAGCTGACCCAACTTGCTTAACATACTCAAAATCGTGAATGTACATAAGCATAGTTGTCTAAATTTTAATCTAGTTCTGAATTTAAAACAGAAGCCTATTATTTGTAAAGCTTAGACAAGGAATCAAAGATGAAACCAAATGAATATTCTAAATTTTACCTTCGTACGTAAACCGCCTACATGACTCCTAAACGTTTCTGGTTTTTTTTTAACATCTTTCTCTAAAATCATTTGGATTATATGAACAAAGATAATGCTCGGCCTGGTAAGTCATAGTGACAGACAATGACAAATTTAAAATGAATGAATCTGGACCAAATTCTACTCATGGGAAGAAAATAAAATTATGACTACTGTAATTTTCTTCCTTTTAATTAGGACAAGTTCATAGAAACAGGCAGATGTTTGCAAAATGAGGTGTTTCTATACAAAATGGACTCAATGAGTTTTCCGTTATTTCAAAAGTACTATATTCGCAGTCCCAATAGTCTAATCGTGACTTTCTCTAAGGTAAACGTTTATCATTAGGATTTTTATAATCTAAGCACAAATATCTACATTCTGGCTCAGACTCTCTAGATAAAAATATAAAAAGTAAAAAAGAAAACAAAAAGAAACTGCAACTTTCAGGTAAGATTTAGAAAGTGACACTTCCCCTCCGTATATTTCTAACAATGAAGAAAAACTTTCATCTCTAGGAAAAGAAACCATTCACATTACCTGCAACAAGAAGCAAGAATGAAGAGAGTCAGCATTTCCTAAGGCCTTGAAATTAAGTTTCTTTTGCATTCATTTATAATTTTTAAAATAACAATAATAAAATTAGACCAGAGATATCCAATGCAACAAATGCCCCCAAAACGCCTTTGGGATAAATCAAACCAAAGGAACACAGAGAATGTTTCAATGTAACTTAATTCCAGGGTTAATTGAAATGAAAGCTATTTTGTGCCAGAATTAGTAGAATGATTTTACAGTGAAGGTCAAATAGGCTGAAGTGAAGATGTTCTTAACAAACAGCAAAAGATTTTTGTTTTGCTTTGAAAGAAACAGCTAATAAAAAGTTCTCCAAACTTACTGATTTTTTGTTTTCCTTTTTTTCTTTTACTGTAGCTTTATTCAGTAGGGAGTGGCAAGTTGCCTACAGGACAGAGATGAGCACAAACAAGTCACAGCACCAACTACATACAGCAACAAAAACAATGTTGGCTTGTACATAAAATTACATGATCAAATGTAACACAAATGGAATCAACAAAAAATTAGAAATCAACTGAATTTCGAGGGATGAATTTTATTTCTGGATTTTAATTTTTATCACATTTTCAAGCCAAAGCACTAAATAAACAGCAAGAAATGTTGAGATAATCATATCTACTATTTCTGGCTATAAATCACGGAAAAGTTCTCCCCAAGTAAATTTGAGGACATTTCATATTTACATTTCAGTTCATTCCTAGCTTTTGATAAATTTCATGTAAAATGTTCATTACAAGTAGATCACACACTAAAAACACTTCCATGTGTCTACATAATTTTTTCTTGATAAATACTTCTCTGTGTATCCTTCAATTGACTTAAAGTTCTTTTTTCAATAGCTGGCATTTAATTTAGACCTAGTGATTTAAAAAATAAACATTAAATGACTATATATAAGGGGAAAATTCACTTCAGAGATTCTCAATTAAAAATGTGTCGCTCTTAAAATTTCACATATTTTTCTGTTGGCAGGCTACTTCCTGAAAAAGTTCTAATCAGAGGAGGTTAAAAGCTCTGCAACGTTTGGAAGAAGAATGTTACCAGCTCAACTAGAAATAAGCATTAATTAATATTAAAGTGAAGAAACTGCAGAGAAAATTATAGAATAAAACTTAGAAGCCGCTTAAAATTTTTCACATATTTGACTATCAGAATGTATCAAAAAACAAAATACCAAAAAGGAAAACAAAACAAAACAAAAACAAAACCCACAGACATACTGGCTTCACCTCTCAGAGTTCCTTCTAAGCCAAAGAGTTCTTTTTAAATTAAGACTCCTGGTTAGATCAGACGAGGCACAACAATTTTTTAAAATATCTTTAAAACCAAATTAGATCCACCATACATGGCATTTTATTCTAGGAATTCAGTGCATTCAACACCATAACCTTAAAGTTAATTTGACATTTGTTCACCCATCCGTCCATCCATCCATCCAAGTAGTTACTGTGCATCTAACATGCCAGATACCATTCTAGGCATCAGGAAACAGCAGTAGAACAAAAAGACACAGTCCTTCTCTCACGGAGCTCTGGTTCAAACTTTAGACTATATACAAAAGTACTAGTAACCAAACAGATCACCAAAACACAGTTTTATGTAACTTTTTTTCAATTATGATGTATAATTATCATTTATAGCCTTTAAAAAACTGGCATGAGGTGCCTGGGTGGCTCGGTTGGTTGAGCATCCGACTTTGGTTCAGGTCATGATCTTGGGGTTCAGGGGTTCGAACCCTTCATTGGGCTCTCTGCTGTCAGCACAGAGCCCGCTTTGGATCCTGTGTCCCACTCTCTCTCTCTCCGCCCCCTCCCCACTCACACTCTTGCTCTCTCTCAAAAATAAGTTTAAAAATTGTTGTAAACTACTTCTGTTCAGAGAAGCAGATTTACTGGGAAAAGATGACATTTACTTAGAATCATAATATTTGGCTTTCTCAGAATTCTCTCACTATAACTTAAGAGAACATCCATTCTGGGAATTATTTTCTCATTATAGGTATCCCCTGCTTTTTGAAAGTTCGCTTTCACAAAAGACTTACATTAGTACCTATTTTTGCTAACTAAAAGGAATCCAAAGAGAATTTTTGCCTTTATGAGGAAAAAAAGAAAAAAACGAGTATTACAACCAGCATCTGTTTTTCATTGAGCCATTACAGAGGAAGCTCACTCCCCAAGCAGTGAGTTGACCACCGCCAAGCTTCTTCCCCAGGCGCTACTCTCAGTATCAAGTCGCCACAGCTTTGAACTTGTCTAGGAGCATCTGTGCTTTATCTCAACTCATTTTGTGCATCCATTAGTGGGATGTGTCCTAAGGTATCAGAAAAGCCTAAGAGTTCATAAGGGTGTCATGCTTACCATAACACTGGGTGGGATTAAGCATTTCAATTGTGGTGAATGAAAAAGATACTGCGTGTGCACTCAACTTGCCTGTATCCACCATTCATATTATGTACTGACGGAGAGAAAGAATTCTGAAAGTTGCTCAAGTTACTATTGGTTCTTCCAGTAGCAAAGTGGTCTCTTTTAGTCAGCATCCAGTACTGGATGCGATGGGAAGTCCACTGCTTGGGTGGATTGATGGGTGAACAAAGCAAAGGGTTCCATTAAGTTATCTAACACTTCAGGAGACATCCATTTTTTTAGTAAGCTGAAACAGAAAGTACTGGACAATGAGGATCAAAGTGTTGCAAAAGCAGAATTGAAAGGTAGTCCTGGGTGGTTTGATCGGTTTTGAGGCAAGAGCAGCTTCATAGCTTAAGGGTTATTGGAGAGAGTGTTTTGGCTGATACTAAAGCTGCCGAAAAGTTCCCAGAAGAACTGAAGAAAATAATTATAGCAGGTGGTTATTCACGTAAACAAGTGTTTAACTGCAATTTATTAGTGGAAAAAGTTGCCACGCAAAACATGTATTTCAATAGAAGAAAAGCAGGCTAAAGGACACAAGGCATCAAAGGACAGGTTTACCTTAATGCCTACTATTAACACCACTGGTGATGCTGTCCTTAGTCCTCTACTAGTATGCCATTCAGAAAATCCAAGGGCACTTAAAGGCACTGATAAGGATACGCTTCTTGTGTTTAAATCACGTCCAAGTGGTTGGAATATCCAAGTGATTTTTTTCTGAGTGCATGAGTGGGTACATTAGTCCTTTTGTTGAAAATACTGTAGAGAAAACAATCGTGATAACAGGTGTCTTCTGATGGTTGAAAACTGGGCTGCTCATCCACCTGGCATTACTGAGTATGACAGTAACACTGCGGTTTTGTTCTTCCTGTTGAATATGACGTTGTTGGTACAACCATGTGTCCTAGGCCTAATGGGCACAATTAAAGCTTCCTATATGCAAGAACCAACAGAGAAGCCAACTCCAAAGGATTTTTACAAAGGATCTGGAAAGACTACCATTTAAAACTGGCATTCGCCAACCTTGGAGATCCTCTTGATAAGCTAACAGTCTGGGTGAGAAATGGTGCTTAGTGGATGGTCTCCTGAAGCAGTGAACAATTTTAAAGGCTTCAAACCAACAATAAATATGGCCAAACCAACTGACTTTGGCTAAGGAGGATCAGTTTGTGGAAACTGAATATGATGTTGAAGGTTTCGGCATTCCATGACCAAGAAGTGACAGATGAAGAGGTGATGCAACTCCAAGAGGAGAGAACACCAATCGACAACGAACGCAGCAGTGAACGGCCGGACAGTGCAGTTGTCCAGGAACTGAACGGGAAGCACTTAAGTGAGATTTTTGCTACAACGGACAGTGCTGCAGTGATTGCAGAAAAGTATGGCTTTAATTTTGAAAGGGCACGTAGGTTTAGGGCAGGTTTGCATAACGTTTTGAGTGTCTACAAATAACTGTAGTATAGAAAAATGCAAGAGGCTGAGCAGTTGAGCATACTGTCGTATTTCAAGCCTTCCACACCAGCCACATTAGCCACGGCAGACGATGAACCTCGACATTTGACATCGAGGCAGGCAGACATAGAAGAAGGTGTAGACGTTAGTGACCTGCTCGCACTGATGGATTTAGACAATGATGAGATGTTAACAGGTGACCCTCTTCCTCTCTCTCCTATACTCCATACTCCTGTACCTCCCACGACCCCAACCTCCAGCACCCCAGCCTAACACACCACCATCACCACCTGTCAGCCCTCTGGTGTGCCGTCTTCCCAATTTTGGAAAGCCAAACCACACTGTACATACATTATTTGTACTTTATACAGGCTGTGTATTTATCATATTATTCTTGATTTTACTATATGTTAATGTTATTTTAGCTTTTATGTGTTATTTGGTATGATTCGGTAGGCTATTTTGGGGGTCTGAGAACGCTAAAAAAAATTTCCATATAAATTAATGGTAAGTGCTTCTTCCCTTTATGTCACCTAGGCTTACAAAAGGTTTCACAGGAACACTCTACTTTGGGATAGCGGGGAAAACCTGTATTCCAAAACTATTAGGGGGACAAGTGGAAATAAATACATGGAAAAATGTCTTAATTGTAAGTCTCACACATGTTCACAGTTGGCTATTCTTACGTAATCGGAACGCAGTTCACTAAGTAAGGAGACATACAAAATAAGAAACCTGGTTAAAGCAGCATTCAAAAAAAGCTTACCAGTCAAAAATATGAACTCAGGAAAAAAGAGGTAATGCTCAGAGAAGTTCATTAGCTATCAATATCCTCACTTTTCAAAATTTTCCAAGCAAGTCCCAAAGCAGGAGCCATGTTTACTAGAGGAAACAATCGACTACTATCCTTCCCAGCAGAACACAGAAGTACAAAGGTACCATTATGTCACTGCCAAAGTCAAAAGGGCAAGAAAAAGCCAGAGGAAAGATGAATAAAAGAGCAAACTGAAGGGAAAACTGCATTTTGTAGGAGACTCAGTGAAAGAATAACTTGAGATCAAAGCTTTTTTTTTTTTTAATTAGTAATTTTAAAATTCTGTTATCACTTATTAAAAAACAAAACCTTATTTATAAATAAAATAGCGCACTTTTGCTCTACAGTACTCTACGTTCCAACAAGCTTCGACCTTATTGAAACTTACTTCAACCAGTGCGCTGACACAACATTTAAATAATACTCGTAAAAAGAATAATTTTATGTGAAATTTTAATACGAGAATTCAGCTCTGTTATAATGCAGGATATTTAATTATGGCATGCTTTAAAAAGTACAACACATAGTATTTTAATAAGCCAGAAATGATTACTTTGCTCTTATTTCTGATTTATGTTCACTACCTCCTCTCTTCCTATGAAAGCTGGCAAGAATCTTGTCTACTTGGGTGGAATGGATAGGAGAATTTATTCCTTCATTAAATATTTCCAAGTAGTTACAAAGTGCCAAGCCCTGTTCCTTTTACCTTAT